GTGCTTTGAATTCCATCAGGACAATATACCTGTTGAGCCACTTGAAACACTTGTTCCTTTTCTAGAGGCTATTGTTGTTGGTTCCTTTAAAGACAAACAAAGCACACACACAGGTTTCTAAAACGGGATCAATTTACCAAAATATGAACTAAAACAAATCCCTTAACTTGAATTGTAATGACATTAAAGAGCAAACCAAAACCACCCTTAAGGCTACAATCCTTACAGGAAGGTTGAGTTGCATTCAACCGATGAAGAGTTGCTTGTGAGAAGACGTGTGCAGAAGTGTTGTAAACCAAGCTATCTGACTCCTAGGAGACCCCTAAACAAGTATACATTGTTACTGAAATTCTCCTGTCCTTCTGCACAGACTGCTGAGAGTTCCCTCCTCCTCCTCTGCATTTCAGCATTTCAACAGACTCATAGATCGTCATCTTAGGGAGCCTTGTACAATTTTGGCTGCGGCAAGTCACTGTGAGAGTTCTGCACTTATTATCACTGTATTGTATTATTTGTTTTGTTTATTCTTTTGATTTCTTCTAGCGCAGCAACACTCTGGGTGACAAACTCGATAAAACAAAACATGACTTTAAAAATACCAATTTGAACGCCTAAATAAAAACAATCCCTTCCAAGCAAAAGACAAAGCAGCGTGGAGAGGATATGGTAATTATAAAACACATCCTGTAAGAATACATTTCTTTTAAAAGCTCATACTAATAAAAATAACGTCTCCCGGTGCCAAGGTTGATTTGATTTAAATCACATTGGTGTAAGTCGTGGTTTAAATTATGGTTTATATTGCTTCTCCAGAGGACTCCATTTTAAAGATTCAATTCAATAAAAAGATTTTATTTTGGCTTCTTTTTCATAGAAGTACTTGACTGTTCAGTGTAACCTTAACACCTATCCAGTAAGTACGCATTACATAATTATTCTCTTTTTTAACCCAAATTAATTTATTATTAAAATATGGGATTTATATCACTTATATCCTGTCTCTTTCTTGTTCTTTTGCACTCAGAAGCAAGACAGCTTCCAGAGCCCAGAAACTGTTTACTACGTCAGGCTATTGGTTGTTTGCTTGGTGGTTGTTTTTATACTGTGTTATGTTGTTGTTTATTTTATATTGTTTTATGATGTTGTTTTATGTTCTTTATGGTGTTATATTTTAAACTATGATGATCGGGCTTGTCCCCATGTAAGCCGTTCTGAGTCCTTCGGGGAAATGGATGCGGGATACAAAAATAAAGTTGTTGCTATTATTATTATTATTATTATTATTATTATTATGAAGATAGAGACGGTATTATTCTTCAAAACAGATTATGATGCTATTTAGCAAAATAAACATGATTAGGTTATTTCCCATCTCCATAAAAACCTAACACAGTCACATAATATAATTAAACGTTGTACAATTAGTATTTATTCTGACATCTTTGTCCAATGCTCTTATTATTGCTCATAGCTTAAGAAAAAAAAACTAAAATCTTTTTTGCATTTTAAAAACTCCAATTTACATTTTACACATCAAATTTAAATTCTTAAAATTGGGTTTTAATTTTTCTAAGTTCAGTCTGATGCTGAAAAAAAATCAGTAAATCTAAACAGACTTCTCTAGAAGAGTAATTCCACAGTTTGCTAACCAGAACCGCATAGGTGCAAAAAAGAGCAAAGACCAAAACATTGATAATCAAACTGGGAACAACAGCATACCATTCTGACAGTAGCAGTAGATAGTGAAGGGAGATAATAATAATAATAATAATAATAATAACAACAACAATAACAACAATAACTTTATTATTATATCCCGCCACCATAACCCCGAAGGGCCTTGGGGCGGCTTACATGGGGACAAGCCTGATCAAATATAGTTTAAAATATAACACAGTAAAATTAATAAAACAGCATGATAAAACAGAATAAAACAACCATCAAACAAACAACCAATAGCCTAATATATATGCAAAGGCTAAAATTTGAGAATCAGATAGGGATTCTTAAATACTTCCTTTATATGCCACTTTTCCGCAGTGTCCTACTTTGATAAGCACTGGAGGAAAGATAGTGGTAATTGACTCTTTCCTCCAATAAGGGCAAAAAAGCAAGTGGGAAAGGCAAGAAAAATAGCTCAAAAGGCAAGAATTATGAAATCCCTCTCCCCTCATACTGTAGACTTAGCACTTCATTGTTTAAGAAAAGAAAAGAAAATGACCCCACTTTCTTGACACAAGGCACTAAGGCTTTCAGAATGAGACATCTACCGGCCTACGTCCACTTAAAAATGCGTTATCTCACATCTATCAAATGTTAGCAAGGAAGAAAGCCAGACTTCACACAATATAGGAGGGCATTACCATCTCAATTCCATGCTACCAGGTTTGAAAGAGCCACAAAAAGATCACAAAACAAGACCACCCATGGGGAGACAACACAAGTCTTATCATATCTACCTGGCAATACTTTTATGCCCTCTAAACACTCCCAATTCAAAGGGAAATGTGGGCTGTTTGCCACCCAAGCTCCACTGCCAGGAAATTATGCAGAATCACACAATTAATTTTAGTGTATGAATGCCAAGGGAGATATTTGGCATACATGGCATTTAAAAAAAAAAACATGGCTAAGAAATTATCCTGTTTAAGGACATAATTTATTATTACGGAGCATTGCTTTGAGATGTGTATGAGACATATTCATTATATTAATTTCCCCAGACTGGGATCCAAGAAGGCTTACAAATTAATTATTAATGTTTTTATTAATATGTTTTAATTCTATGTAGTGATAATTGGTTATTGTTCCTTGTCTATTGCTTATATTATTTTTGTATCTGTTGATTGTTGTAAGCCGTCCCAAGATGATGATGATGATGATTATATTTATTAATTGAAATAAGTAGACAAAATAAATCGGACATATACAAATAAAAGGTGAACGGGCTGTAGGCGGATGCATATAAATAAAAACAAATGTGAAAGTAAAATCAACACATGTGTTTTCAGGTTTGGTCATTTGATATTTTTGCTGTAGTGACAAATATTTTATTTTGCTATTTTGTTTTTTTATGTTCATGATTTTTTAAAAGAGCTATATTATTTGATGGTTTTTTTAAAAAAAATATTTCTCCTTGACTTCTCCCAATTACGAAACAGGTGAGCCTACCTGGCGATGTATGATCAAGGTCAGTGATCAAACAGAGCGAGGAGACATCACCCTCATCTCTGGGAAATTGCAGGAACGAACCCTGAGCAAATATAGTTTCAAAGGCGCACACTGCAGCCTGCTTTCTGCACGCACAACGGCATGAATCCCCTTTTCTCCTGTTATTACGGTACTGTTTTGCTGGGATTGGTTTGCACTTCCATGTTCTTTTCGGCAGAGATATAAATTGCTTGGAAAAGAGTGACCTCATCCTTCTTATGACAGCAGAAATTTACCAGTCAGCTTCGAAGTCCACCAGCGCTCCCTTGCCCCGCTGATCAAAGCCAGTTTAAATGAACAGCACTCTCTGTCTTTTAAAACGGCACTCATCTTTGAACAAGAGTTCATTTCATGTAAAAAGGGATTTATAATTGCTTGGACAAAATCAATACCCTCTTCCCCTGATATAGTGCTTGTTATAATTATAGGAATTGCTGTTGCAAAGCTAAACAGGAGAAATATTGTCATTTAGAGAATGCAAACGCAGGTTGTTCATTATGATGCAAACCCCATGAAAGCAAAACAGGGTTTGTGTAACGAGTTTCATACACAGCTGACATTGTAGAACGTATGATGTGACTGGTTAATACTATGCAAACTCACAGCATTAGGGCAACAACCTTCACTGAGCAGTTTTTCCCATTTGCGAAACCCATATTACAACAAATATAAGTGGGAAAGTTTGTGGATTTGGCATAGCTGAGAAGGGAAGGAAAATAGGAAGAAAAGAAATGATACCGCAGATATGATGCCGCAATGGAAAGTGTGTGTTACATCAATTTTTAGGTAACTTCATATAGACTCATAAAGTTGGAAGAGACCTCGTGGGCCATCCAGTCCAACCCCCTGCCAAGAAACAGGAAAATCACATTCAAAGTACCCCCGACAGATGGCAATCCAGCCTCTGTTTAAAAGCCCCCAAAGGAGCCTCCACCATACTCCGGGGCAGAGAACAGCTCTGAACAGCTCTCAAAGTCAGGAAGTTCTTCCTAATGTTCCGATGGAATCTCCTTTCTTGTAGTTTGAAGCCATTGTTCCGCGTCCTAGTCTCCAGGGCAGCAGAAAACAAGCTTGCTCCCTCCTCCCTATAACCTTCCCCCACATATTTACTTATACATGGCCATCATGTCTCCTCTCAGTCTTCTCTTCTGCAGGCTAAACATGCCCAGCTCTTTAAGCTGCTCCTCATAGGGCTTGTTCTCCAGACCCTTGCAACACAAGTAACCGTCCACAAGCCTTAGTTCATGACAGGACCTTTTAAACTGTTCCCAGTCACAATCCTTTTTCGCCCAAGACATTTCTAACTGATCCCAAGCATACAGGTATATACAATAGGTAAAAATATCAAACATTTATTGATAATAAATCAGAATTTGCAAGACTTGCTAAACGACTGAAACACTTTCTGCAGAGTCCACACTGCATGTTGTTGCTAATGGATTCATGTAAATGGGTGATGTTCAGCAACCTTTTACTGTTGCCAAGTTTTTTGTGACCCCAATATTGAGTTAAGAAGATCCCATTTGGGGTTGGGACCCACAGTTTAAGAAGCAGTGGTTTATGAGCCTTTAAAATGTTACACTAAGGTACCCAAATAATTACGACTGCACTTAAAACCACTAACAATCTTTGCCAATGGTAAGGAGAAAGCATCAGTTTGACTATTTAAGAAAAAAAACATATAGGTTCACTAGCTCCATGACTTAACCCAAACCTCCCATTTTTGTGGTTACATTCATAACAAATACAGTAATACTTCATGGATAAAGAAAAATAGAGGAAACACTTACACAGCCGCCAGCAAGAATTTCTGCTGGGAGAGGAACAGAACCATCTTTGAGCATGAATTTGTCTCTCACAAAATCGTTCATCTTAAGGAATAAACATTCAGTCAAATGAGAAAAAGCATGACCAGTTATTTTTTTTCCAAGTACAACCATCCATAAATACAAATTCTATGTCTATCATCAATATAACACATACATGCATAAAATTAGGAAAGTACATTCACTAAACTTAAAACCAGATTTGCATCACTTAAGATACTAATGGATACATATACTTAGCTACAAAAATAAAATAATTCAGGCATTTGCCTAACTAATTGTCAGTATTTCTTGAAAAATACCGTATTGTTTTGCAGGCTTATACTGAAAATAAGTTCTAATGATTCTATTACTTATTTATTTACTCTATTTGTATCCCGCCTTTCTCTACCCCGAAGGGGACTCAAGGCGGCTTCACACATGGCAACTATTCATTGCCTTTGGGCAATGAACAGTTAGAATACACTTAAGTTAAAAATTAAAATTAAAATTAAATGCACATTAAAACATAAAACATTGCATTCACTATTACAATTATGACATACTCCATCATAAGCTTACTTCTAAGTCAGAGAATACACAATTGCAATTTCAACTCTTAAATAGGTTTCAATTGTATACTACACTTATTTTTATTCCAATAGGAAACTGTATAGATGGAGATAGAGGTTTATTCTTTTCTGTGACAAATAATGTAGTTATGGATTAAGAGTGATTATTTCAAATGAGGCTACTGGGCAAAACTCATTAGTTAAATTCTCATCCAAAAAACCCACATAATCTAAATTTGTATTACAGGAATATAACCTGACAAAACGGAATGCATGTGCAAGTGTCATAACATTCGTTCCTGTGGGTTTTGGATGGCAGCTTTATGGAAATATGCTGTTTACATATACTACCTTCTTCAAATATAGTTTTATCCAAGGAAACTATTAAATATATACTTATGCAGGCTTAAAAGCAGGCAAGAACCCATTCGGCACAATCCTATAATATCTACTCAGAGTTAACCAACACATTTACTGCCAGATAAGCATTTACAACATTTCGGCATAAATCTTCTTACTAGAAAATGCAAAGATATAAAACAATAGATTCTGAACTATAAATTTTGCATTTGACTTACAGTAAGTTTAATAGCCTTTTCCGGGGCTACACCCAATAATTGTGGCAAAAGACCTGTAAAGAGCACAGAAATACCATATAAAACACAGCGTACACACAGGTAAGTGTGAAGTCAGCCATCCTCAAAAGGGGCCCGCATTTAGGGCAATGTTCAAATGTAATGTTTAACAAGAGTACCTAGACACTTCATTAAAAATACAATATAAACCACACAATTCTGAGTCTATTGTACACATACACATTCAGAGCTTATACACTTTAAAGATCAGAGAGATTTGTTTGTGCAACCTGCAATGGTGCAGAATAATTAATGCATTGTTGTGAACTGGGGAGAATATTCATACTGGGACTCAGAACAACTTACATGTTATTTGTAAATACAATATATTAAATTATTAACATAGCACAATATCAGTACCATACATTCCCATATTGTACTACACTACTATACTGTAATATTATTAGTAGTATTACAAGTAATATGAACTATATAATTATTAAATTGCATTATTATTACTATTCTATTGTATTACATTATAGTATTATCAATATTATATGTATATACAATATATTATATATTATTATTAGCACAGCACAGTATTAGTATTATATATTACTGTATTGTACTATACCACTATAATGTAATATTATTATATGGGCCTAAGGACTGATTGAATAATAAGATGTTTTCATACGTTCTTCGTCTCTTGTTATATGATCAAATGACTACATAACAAACACCTTGTTTAGAATTTAAACTTAGGAGCCCAATTTATTTACCTAGGTATACACAAAATACAGGAAGAAAGCACACCAGTGTATAAATAGAGAGTCAGGAAGCTGTGTTTCATGTTTGACATTGGATTTCTCATTTGAATTGTTCTGAAATAAAATATTGCAAGACGATAGTAAATCAAGTGTCACAGAAAGGTTTCATGGAAAGGTGGGAGGGAAAGAGAGAAGCATATGTAAGAAAGAGGAGAGATTACTTTCACAAACAAGAGTGTGTTGTAGGATAATTTACCACTTGCTTAAGCAACTATTCTGAGGAAGTCAACAGAACAAAAAACTGCAGTTAGACTAATTTCGATGCTTGAGTAAAAATAGCTTACAGATTTTTTTAAATACCAATTTTGAGAAGTATCTATCTTCAGACATTCCAAATGAGAGAATGAGAAACGTTTATGGTTATTCCATCACTTTGTTCTTTTTCAACAGCTGTTGAGATTGCTGTTGATGCTTGATTTTGGAGCAAACCAATTTTGCTGCAACTACTGTTTGCCTGCTATTTGAAAAGTCTTTAACTCTTCTTGTCTGCTTTTCAACTGATGCTAGACCCTAAGAAGCTGAAAATGAATGGGAAGGGGAGGCTATATTCTCTCTGCCTTGACAGTGTTCATTCTCAGTCTCTAGAGAAGTCAAGTAATCTCTCCACTGAAGTCCAGAGCGCTTTAATTTTATTAGTTTCATTCAAAATTGGGAGATATTACTTTTTTCAATGGCAGTTCTCATAATCCCTAGACAGCCACATAGTCAGAATTCTAATGCAGTCAAAACCTACATTTTTCAAAAATTATTCTTTTGGAATACTGGGAGATGGGAGTCCAAATAAGAGTTCGCCAAACTCTTGTTTTGAAACAGTTGAGTTTGTCTTGTTATTTAAATTGTGCTTGGAACCAGTTTTGATGACAGCTTTCACAATTAATTATAGGTGATTGAGAGGGTAGTTGCCTTCCAAATCCAGGCAGTCTAGGATGGCATATACTTCCCAGACCAGCCTTTCTCAACCTGGTGGTCAGGACTCCGGGGGGGACGGGACACAAGGGAGTGTCAGAGGGGTCACCAAAGACCATAAGAAAACACAGTATTTTCTGTAGGTCATGAGGGTTCTGTGTGGGAAGTTTGGCCCAATTCTGTAATTGGTGGGGTTCAGAATGTTATTTATTTATTTATTTATTTATTTATTTATTTATTTGGGGTTCTTTTACCCCGCCCTTCTCACCCCGAAGGGGACTCAGGGCGGCTTACAAAAGCAAGGCACAATTTGATGCCTGCATCATAAAAACAATCAAACACAAAATTACATCAATACACAGTTAACACCAAATACATACATTATTATACATTATACATTATAACCATAAAATCAATAAAATCAATAAAACCAAACACAAACCCAGTTTCTCTTCTTACATGGTCAGCGTTCGCTACTCATAGATCTAGTTTTACGTTCCACTTCATCAATCCTGCTGGTCTTACTCGCCTGGTTGTCTGATTTAATTGCCGGAGTGCCCAAAGGCCTGGTCCCATAACCAAGTCTTCACCTTTCTCCTAAAGGCGAGGAGGGATGATGATGCCCTGATTTCCCCCAGGAGTGAGTTCCACAGGTGAGGGGCCACCACTGAGAAAGCCCTGCTCCTCGTCCCCACCAGCCTCACTTGTGACAATGGTGGGGTCGATAGCAGGGTCTCCCCAGATGATCTCAGACTCTTTGATTGTAGGTGAACTACAAATCCCAACAAATACAACTCCCAAATGTCAAGGTCTATTTCCCCCAAATCCAAACTCCACCAGTGTTCATATTTGGACATATTGAGTATTTGTGCCAAGTTCTTGCCAAGATTCATCATTGTTTGAGTCAAAAGTGTTCTCTGGATGTAGGAGAACTACAATTCCAAAACTCAATGTCAATTCTTACCAAACCCTTCAAGTACTTTCTGTTGGTCATGGGAGTTCGGTGTGCAAAGTTTGCTTAAATTCCATCATTGGTGGAGTTCAGAATGCTCTTTTATTGTAGGTGAACTATAAATCCCAGCAACTACAACTCCCAAATGAAAAAATCAATCCACCTCCCCCAACCCCACCAGTATTCAAATTTGGGCGTATTGGGTATTTGGTCCAGTGAATGAAAATACATCCTGCATATCAGGTATTTACATTACGATACATAACAGTAGCAAAATTACAGTTAGGAAATAGCAATGAAAATAAATTTAAGGTTGGGGGTCACCACAACCTGAAGAACTGGATTAAGGGGTTGTGGCATTAGGAAGGTTGAGAACCGTAGGTTTGAACCCATTTCAAATTAGGTTTCAGAGGAGGATACCAAGTTGACATAGTTACGTATAATTGGATATCATTCACCCCCCCCCCCCCCCCCCCCCCCCCCCCGCACCCAGTGTTGTTTAAAATGAAATTCTGGGAGAGATCATACCAAGGTATGATAACACCTAAAGTCAGCAAATTCTGAATGCCTGGGATATGTAATGTGCTATTAGAAGAAAACAAACTGAAATTAAATCTAGACAAGATGAAGGTGCTTACTGTCAAGAGTCCTGAACTGGGTTTGGAGGTGTGGGAACCAGTCCTGGGTGGGGGTTACATTCTCCCTGAAAGATTTGTGTTCACAGCTTAGGTGTAATTTTGATTCCATCACTCCAAATTCCATCAAGATAGGTGCAGCTGTCGGGAATGCTTACTAATACCTTTGATTTTTATGTCAGGTGTGCCCCTTCCTAGGATTAGAAGGTGTGCTGCTAACTACAAGGGGAGTATTCCCTCCATGTTGAGATACCACTATAATGGACAGGCAAACAGTAACAGTAAAATGGGTCGATGTAATAAATTAACATTCAAGAAGTAAATCATTTTGGTTGTTCATAGGTATCATTGATTGCCAATAAAAGTGTAACAGTAAAATGCTTTAAAAGCTGGTAGGAGAGTAACACATATTGGTAATACCAACAATGTTAAATTCTCTAACACAGGCATGGGCAAATTTCAGCCCTCCAGTTGTTTTGGACTTCAACTCCCACAATTCCTAACAGCCTACTTGCTGTTAGAAATTGTGGGAGTTGTAAATCCAAAACACCTGGAGGGCCAAAGTTTGGCAATGCCTGCCAACATGACTATTTTTCTTGTGTCATTTAAATAGTATTCCTCTCATTGATCTCTGTCACTGCAGAGTAGGTTAATCTACATCTTGCAAACAGAACACAAGGATAGCACTTTGGGTGCAACTCTTTGCTCCCAGGAAAGGCACTTAAGGGTATCACAGATCTCCAAGAGTGCAGAGAGAATGATCTGACGCTGATGTCCTGCCCCTATCCCTAGAAAAAAAAGGTAAATATCACTCCTTCCCTTCCATGTTGGAGATCTAATGTTGGAAATTGTTAAAAAGTGGGATCCAAAGTTTTCCCAGTTGTCACCCTTTATGAACCTGTTCAAGTGTCAAGATCGGCTGGGGAGGCCCTCCTCCTCCATCACAAGCAAGGTTGGTGGGGACAAGGGAGAGGGCCTTCTTAATAATTCCCCCCCCCCCCCGGCACTGGAACATCCTCCCCAGGGAGATAAGATAACCAACCACCCTCATGATTTTCAAGAAGGACTTAAAGACTTGGCTATTTAAGCAGGCCTTTGAAAATGATTAGTAACTCTTAATGTGGATGAGGTCTTTGTATTTATGGATACACTTGGGCATTTTGGCTTTTAAGTAGCTTATTTAATCTGTTGGAACCATTATGTTTTAAATGTATTTGATGTTTTTTTTTATTGTTTAATTGTTATTTTATTGGTTTTCCTTATTAATTTGTAATTTACTTTGTACTGTAGAGTCTCTCTTATCCAACATAAATAGGCCGGCAGAACGTTGGATAAGCAAAAATGTTGGATAATAAGGAGGGATAAAGGAAAAGCCTATTAAAAGTCAAATTACATTATGATTTTACAAATTAAGCATAAAACATCATGTTTTACAACAAATCAACAGTAAAAGCAGTTCAATACACAGTAATGTTATATAGTAATTACTGTATTTACAAATTTAGCACCAAAACATTGCAATGTATTGAAACATCTGTAGATCCAGGCGGGAGGCAGATTGCATTGGATAATACAGAACTTTGGATGAGTGAAGGCTAGATAAGCGAGACTCTACTGTATATATTGTTTATTGCGTTTTACTCATGTTATGAGCCACCCCGAGTCCTTTCAGGGAGATGGGGTGGGATAGAAATAAAGATGATGATTATGAAGATGATGGTGGGGGTGATGATAATAATAATTATTATTATCATATACCCTAAACACAGGCATTTGTTCCAAATGCCAGACCTGACTATGTTTAGGTAGCTTTATCAATTCCTTGTGAACCCTACAGCATAAAGGGACAGTGAGTAACCAATATAATGGTGCAAAAGCCAACATCCTGAAAGCATCAATGTGTGGTTTTTTAAAAAAGGAGCCAGGAATTAGTATAGAATAAATTATATTGTATATCTAATCAAACAGACGTTTTCTTCAAAGCTTTGTTTGCTATAAAGCTCTACTAAATAGAAATCACCTGTCAAAACTTCGTCCAAACAAGCTACAAGAGCATTTAGATGCATGAAAAACAAGGCAACAACTTTCACTCTTTTTAACTGCTAGCAGGTAAGTTGCTTCTAAAGAAACTGAAAAAAACAGTATGTGATCAAAAACAGCAGCATATTTTATGGCGACACTAGGGTGAATGCATCACAGGATTTACAATCAATCTCACATTCAGATTCTGCAAAGCAAGCTTATACAATGTGAGCAATGCCCGCTCTAAATCAAGATTAAAAAACATACATACAGATAGGCAAACAGACAGCAAACCTCATATTCAAGTAAGAGAATTTTGAATACGAACCTCTGTAGAGACCAAAGAATCCTTCATAACGTAGCACTTTCTTAAAGCAATCAAAGCTGTTCTTGTACATCAGCTCCCCAATAAATGACCCAGTGGAGCGCTGGTTCTGCATCCGAGTTTTCACCAGATCAATGGGGTATACTGCAGTAGCTCCAACAGCTAATGTTAAGTGTCAAACAAACAAATAGAAATGTCTTTTTTTTAGTCTAGTTTCATTATATCAGGTTCATTCTGAAAATAGTGTTATATGCCTACACCACAGTCCTGTAAATATTTGCAGGAATGCCTACGCACGTCCAACAAGAATATTCACAGGACTTGGAAACATTTACTTGTTGTGACTACAATATCCCAAATCTCCCAGCCTGTAAAGCTACTGGCCATGAAGGCTGGGGAATCCTGAGGGTTGTAATCAAAATGAAATAACTTTTCCCTGCTCTGTTTATGATTCTACAATTTCTGGCCAGAAGTTTAAATGAGGCATTCAAGTTAAAATATTTTTATTGGATGAGCAAGGTGCCCTATATGTCTTTCATGAAGCTCTGGAGACTTTTGAGTTGAGCTCTGGCTACTTACTGACTATGCTAGCTGGAGGGATGCTGGGAATCACAACATAAAAGATAACTTTTCCAGGTTCTGATCTCCCCATTTGAAAAACATTTCTCCTTTCTACTCAACAATATATGTTGTTGAAGGTTTTCATGGCCAGAATCACTGAGTTGCTGTGAGTTTTCTGGGCTGTATGGACATGTTCCAGAAGCATTCTTTCATGACATTTCATGCATATCTATGGCAGACATATTTCACAACCTCTGAGGATGCCTGCCATTGATGTGGGTGATACGTCAGGAGAGAATGCTTCTGGAACATGACCATACAGCCCGGAAAACTCACAGCAACCGAATGAAGGGAAGGTTGCCAATTTCCTGCCATTTTCTCCATGGCCCAGAACTCACCATTCCCAAGAAAACCCAGTGGCCATGCCAGGTGGGGAATTCTGCAAGCTGTAGTCTAAAAAAGAGAACTTTTCCAATTATGGCTATAACCTTCTTTATGTAGGGGAGGGGAGGGAAAGCAAATCACAAACGCAAGCACTCCACTAACCTCCAGCAACTGAACCAAGGGCAAATCTGTATGCAGATTCTGCTATTTGGACAAGAATAGGCCTGGACACATCACCTGGACCTTTCTACAAGTAGGCCATGTAGGGAGAAAATTTGGGAGAATGGAAGAAAAAAGATGACAAGAGTCAGACTAACATTTTCTAAAACTGAATGCAACAGCCTAAAGTAACTGGGTACAAAAAAAAAACCCCAAGCTTGGATTTTACAAATACTGCAGTTACATATTTGTTCACTGTATTATAATATCAATTCAATTCACAGAAAGAGGACATCATATCACATGCATGACTGCTAAAATGTATCTACCACTCAGGTAGTAAGCATCCTTAGACATGTAGTGCAATAAGTTGTGCATAAAAATGAGATTGAGATATTTTGGATGTTTGTCTTTGCATATGGACTGCTTCCATCTTCCCTAAGTAAATTTTTGAATGCCAAGGCAGGTTTTAAGATTAAGAAAAAAAATTCCTTCTCCAAACTGCATCTCTTTAAAACAAAGATAAACTTGTGCTAGTTATATTGGCACAGGAGAAGCTGCTTTATACTAAGTCGGAGTGTTGGTCTATCCAGCCAAGTATTGCCAACTGTGACATAGCTCTCCACGTTTTCAGACAGGATTATTGCCTAATACCTGGAGATCCCTGGTATTACCTGGTGATCTCTCTTCCAGGAACTAATCATCCATGATCCTGTTTAGCTTCTGGAATCAGGCAAGATCAACCCCACTCAGAATAGTAAGGTGCATATAATAAAATAAACGAAATTCTTTCTATCATTACTTTTTGCTATGTCAGCCTGAATTGTCACTGATAGTAGATATAAGAAAAACCTCGGATACTGAAAGTTTGCAGGATCTTTTTAATCCATATGAACTAGGAAAATAGAGAAGAAAAATATCTGAGGCTTCTTGCATTTAAAAAGTAAACTATATGACTAATTTTATTGTCCCATTCAATCTTAATTTACTATAAATAAAGCATAAACATCTAAATTAAACCAGGGCCAAAAAAGAATTTTCGAGAAGAACATTAACTCTAGTTGTTTCAGTTGTATTAGTTGTAATAATGTGATTTTTATAATTGATTTAATTGTTTAGATGTTTTAATTTTTGGTTTTAATATAATTGTGTATTTAATTGTATGTTTTTTATGGGATTGAATCACTGCCAATGTGTAAGGCCGCTCTGAGTCCCCTTCAGGGTTGAGAAGGACAGGGTACAAATGTGGTTAATTAATTAATTAATTAATTAAGAACATCCTGAAAACACACAGAATTGCAATTTTAAATGCTGTTTGAAATTTGTTTCACAAAAATTGTAATTATTAGCTGAAATACCTATCACGGTGAAAGCAGGCCTGACCATAGTTTGGGAAAGTTATTTCTTCCTCTTCTTTTTCACTACAACTCTCAGAATCTGTTCTTAACTAAAAAGTAATCTTCCTGAGTTCTGGCTTTAATATGATTATAGTAGCTTTGGTTTCTGGTCTTCTGAGCTCTGATTCTAGCAGAAAGCTTTCTTATACATGGTCCATCTAGCTTGTCATCATCTAGGGGTTTGAGACATCCATCTTTCCCTGCTCAACCAAGAGAAGCCCATATGAATGCAAAGCATGTGGTTTATCAATGAGGTATAATCCTTCCTCGCCATTTGTAAAGAGCCTTGTTAGGAGGAAGAGAGGAGAAACCCTACTGCATATGCAAGGTTCTCATTACGCTCAAAAAAGAACTGCTGGATTTCAGCCATCAAGTCTCAAGGAGAACAGAAGAAAAACACAAGGAATGGCCTGTTTCAAACTGTGTGCTAATTTGCTCAAGAAACCGCTGTAGTGTGTGCCACCTGCTTTATGCTCAAAGATATTCCTAGTGCTCGGTTTACAGGACCCAAGCTGGAGCATTTATATCAGGGATATAAAGAGCATTTGCATTAAAGATGGGAATGTGTGGCATTTCAAGAAATCACTGACTTACAAGTTGCCTGGGACTATTTGGAACTACAATTGGAGAAACACACTCATTTCCAAGTTTCTTTTCCATGCAGGAGTTGTGACAATAAAGTATTGTTATCTATAGGGCTTTCGTATTGCGTGGAGAGTCTGCTAAGACATAACGCTAAACATATGCGAAGTCTCTATGATAGCTTCAGTCCAACCTCTTTAAGTAATCTCTGAGGCAGATTTTATGAGTGAGCTAATAAAAATGTATTGTCCTAACACAGTAGTTCTTAAATCAAGGCTAAAGAAATGCTGTTGTAGGGTGGTGTTGGGTGGGAGGAGGGGCAGGATAGAAGGCAGCCAAGTGAGGAAGGCCTGGCTTGAGGCCTATTAGACCCAAAAATGTAGCCTGCATCAACTCATTGTGGTCAAACTGGCGTCTCTGCACAGACCCAGAGTACCGAGAGCGAGGGGAAAACCCTCCAGCTCTCAACATACATAACTTGGTTTGACTTAAGTGATAGCTTTAGAAAAACAAGAGCTACACCCAGGCCTATGCCAGTTTTCCAATATAGGAAAGAGACCCATAAAAAGTTTTTGAAAGCTAGCGAAGTCTCTCTTTTTTCGTCTTTTTTACACCACATCACTTTCCAGATTCCCATTCCGCAAACATTTAAAAACAAACATTTTTTAAAGGCCAGCAGCAGTTCTTGGTTTTTCTCCATGATCTTAAAAGATTTCAAACTATTATGACAGACTAAACAAAACCATCACTCATTTCAATATACAGCTCAAGACAGAATACAACAAGAAGACAGTAAAATCTATGATTGCACCTAGGTGTCAGACTCAACGTGACTTACTCCTGAGAAGGTATATAGAGGGTGGTACTTTAAAGAACTGAACATCTTATGTAAACCTATAATACTTTCACTTGATACACTGGATGCATGTTGACATGCCCAGCATAAACTGAGGAATATATTTTCCTTCATTAAAAATATTCCAAGGCAAAATCATGGAGGACTGAACCAGTTGAGTAAATGAATGAATATTCCAACCTCTTCAAACTAATGGTTAAACTGAAAGCGTGATTTTTTTTTGGTAATCATTTTTATCAGGGAATCATATTTTAAATATTTTAAATAGAACAGAGAAAGTACACATACAAGTGCACACACGCCATCCCACACTCTTTTTGTTCTCCATCTGAGTGAAATGCTAATGAAAATTTCTGTAAAAGTTTAAATCACAGTTGTTAATATTTAATTCACAAAGAAGTTGTTGACCTTTAAGTGTAATAATTTTAAGGACTCCAAGATCTTAAAGATTGGAAGGACTGGAACACGGCAAAGAATGCACCATGACTCTTCCCACACATCTCACCTGTCTCTGGGCTTCAGCGAGGTTGTAAGGCAACGTGCCTTCCTCCAAAGGTGCAATTCTTTCAATGTCAGCCATTGTCATGCGTCTGAGGATACAACGAGATCACAAAAATGAAATTACTAGGGAAAGCTAAGTTATCTTACAATGGTAGGTAATATTTTGTGCTGTCCTGGTGTTTGCTTCCTTTTTTTCCATAGCAAGTGGGGAAAAAAGAGTAATTTTCAAACTTACCCCCGTGGCTCATATAAATCTGCTAACTGGAACAAGATGTTAACTTCCATGGGTGTAACCTGGCCAAATTTCTGAGCTGCCAGAGCAAACTCCTCTACAACAAAAGAAGGGGTGGGGTGGGGAATACAGAAGGGGAAACTAATCAAACAACACTGAAAGTTATCCACAAATATCCCAGAATCACCAACCGATAGCATGAAACCAATATGCTGCAAGGGAAGAAGGAAAAATACCACAAATAGCACTCCTGCCACTGTGTAAATGTGTATTTTAAATACTCTATCCATCATGCAAATAGGAGAAACAGTCTAGCCTCCTAGCTTAGTGCTAACAGCCAGATTTAGGATATTTGACATACGGTATCAATCAGTTGTGGGTCCGGGGAGGGGGGTGGAGGGAGAGAAGGAGACAGGGATGTGGAAGTGTGCTTGCATGTGTGTCCCAGTAGGTTGCATTAATGAAGGGCTGGCACTACAGAGTGAGTTCTCTAAAAAAGCGGTTAGATAGAGCCTGATAACATCTTGTTCCAAGCTTGTAGATCAGCTTACTGCAATGCCAATACAAGTTTATGGAATTTTTCAAATACCCTTGAAGGTCACTTTAATAGGCTGCCAATTTGGCACAGATCCTAGGAAGTTTTTGAAGACTTTACAACGCCTTTACATTGACTTCTCGTTCTATCCTGACTTTAAGGCTTTGTGAATTGATGGCAACTAGTTTTATCTACTGTTGTTTTTAAAACTGTATTATTTTGATTTTATGTAATATGTGTTGACAGGGGTTGTTGTTTTAATTTTAGGTGACTTTTTAAACTTATGTACCGTTTTTACCTGTTATATGTTATACATGCACCCTGGAGTGCCTTTGTAAGCTGCCCCGGGTCCCTTTGGGGAGATCATGGTGGGATATAAATAAAGTTTTTATTATTATTATTATTATTATTATTATTATTATTATTATTATTATTATTAACCAGAGGTAGAACCCCCCCCCACAAATAACTGTAATAGACCAAATGAAAAAGCTTGAGACATGAAAACACACAAACAAACACACAAAAAATAATGGGATCATTATTTTTACCAGTGTCAACATATACTGTTTTAATTAGTAAGCTGTTTAGAGTCCAACTTTTTGTAGAATCAAATAAAGATGATGATGATGAAGATGATTTCACTGTTATCCTGAAATTGGCTGAATTTTCACAGAGGAAGTTCAAAACCTTATTTAAACTAACCTTTAGTAACTTCCACGTCTGTTCTATGACCAGCCAGAGTAGTATAGATTTTTCTAATGAGTTCCATGTTATTAAGAAGAGTATTAAATCCATTAAAATAGGAAAAGCTGACTTGGTGGGAAGTGGTACCTCCGGCAGCCTAGAATGAAGAATGTGATGAGGAAAGTAAGGACAGAAAAAGGTCATGTTAGCTGGGTTTCGTTTTTAATCACACAACTTGAACACTGGGGTTTGGGGAGGAGAAATACATTGGAAACATCGTTAGTTTTAAAAACAGTAATAGAAGCAGCAAGGGATTTTAAAAATGCAAAATGGAAAAAAACCTATAATAGATTCTTAAGTTACAGAAGCTAATCATGACCATCATGCAAGCTGCTCCCCCTATTCCAGTGAAACCTAAACAAATACATATGCAGGATTATAACAACATGGCCAGTGGTAATTTACAGAGTTCAAGTTTCAATACTGTTGCAGTCGAAAATGTTTTATAAGTTGCTTTATTTCGTCTAATGAGCAAATCTCAAAGGCTTAAAAATGCCAAGGATATTAATGTCTGAGTTGGGAGGGGTGGAAACTGAAAAAATTAACTATGGATGGAAAACATGGGACCATTTTAATATTTAAATCTAGAAAACACCAATAACACTTAGAGCCCGAAGTGAAATCTTCTCTTAAGGCAGCTCGAAGTTGGCTCTCTCAATCAGTTCCCTGAAATAATCAAAATTCTTATCTTTAAAATGCTCATATGCCATTACCCTGAAGGAGAACGTTGTATTGGAAAGAAATCTTCCAAATCTCTTTGAGAGACCCAAATGACTAATTTTGAAAAGGAGAGTGTTATTATGGGTTTCCCCTCCTCTGCATAGCACATCAGACCATTTTGCCCACAGACTGCCATAAATTTTAAAACATTGGAGGGGGGCGATGATGAATAAAAACTTAAGTAGGAGCAACAAGTCCAGTGACTATTGCTTGGGTAAAAGTTATGCTCATGAAAATAGAATGCAAAAGATTTAAATTGCATGCATGCAATAGGCAAAACTGGCTGTATATATAAAGCTTGATATATATACATATACATACCTACATACATACATATATATATATTGACTGATATGCTGCAAATGCCAAGTGAATTGAATTCTTTCAGAATGAGTCATCTGACACTTCCTCTCTATAACATTCTCCCATTATACTTGGAACGTCATGGCCATTGCATGAATTTGTTTTACACTGAGTCAAGGCTAGAAACATCAGAAGCATTACATTAAAAAAATACAAAAGCCAGAATTCCCTTTTGAAAAGTAAAGATTCCAAGTCTTGAAGGTCGCTAGTCCATCTAACCCAGCCCTTTGACTGTAAGTGATGGAAGTCCTTCCTTACTTTGTCCTCTGAGTCCCTTAAATTAAAAATCAACAAGAATGCAACCTAGGCTACTATATAGTCAAATCCTGATAAGTAACCTAAGTCCACTTATTGACAGGAAGGAAGTAGAAAAACAGAAAACTCAACCATAAGCAGCATGGTCATAACATACTTTGCCTTTCATTCAGCACCTCTGTACCCCCCTTGTCCTTGCTGAAACACATAGAACCTCGGCATTCCCCATTCAAGTCTAAGGCCAATATTATGAGGTGGAATGAGCTGGGGGATGGGGAAGGGGGAGAAAATATTGGTAGTTCACTCAAACAAACTCTGCAGTTGATGCAGGATCAAAAATGAATCCAGACTCAAGCACAAACTATGGTGAAAAGGACAAAAAAAATGGATTACAGGGAAATAATTGGGGGGGGGGGTGATTCTTTTTTTGTCAGGTTTAGCCCCTAAGAATAGAAAGGGGTAATCTCCATAAGCTAGAAATGGCAATGCTGATTCAGAGTGGGGTATCTTCTACCAGAGTGTCCAGAGTGGGCTACTCAAGATCAACATTGCCAAAGTCCAGAGAGACAGCTGCCAACCTGGCTTGGGGAATGGTGGGTGTTCAAACTATGTGGCCCTGAGCCAGTCCAGCAGCAGGATGGAGTCTGCATGGCCCAGCAGCACTGGAACCAGTTCAGTGGATCTGGACTGCCTCTCTTATTGTTCCTGTCCATTTAGTCTTAGAAGCAACCACTGGGCACAATAATGGCAGTGGTCACCACTCATTCACGATAGCTAGAACAACATAACAACACCAAAGAGGGTAGGGGGGAAAGGAGGAATCACTCCCTCATGTCACCCTTCTTTCTCTAATAGCTTTATTTATTTGCTTTATTTATTTGCTTTATTTCTATACCGCATTTTTCAGCCCTTAACAGGCGACTCAATAGCTTTGTCACTCCAACTATTGTCCCTACAGGTGCTGAGTGGTGACCACTACTATTTTCATGCTCAGTAGTCACCTATAAGGTCAGAAAATGGGATGACTATGCAAACGCCTGCAGATGATTCTGATTTGGAAACAGCCCAACTGTTTACACTGGCCCAAAATGCAGGGAAGGTGTGGATCATCCTTCAACTTTTTAAAATGTAAGACAAGGTTGTGTTTGGGAAAATGTACCCAATGCATTGTGTGGAGGTCATGGAGTCTATTCAACTCTGAATTGGATAATATGGTCTGAAGAATTGAGGATCTGGACTTAGGAATCTGCAAACGTTTTGTAATAAAAAGGGCATTTTCAACCTTGTGTAGATTTTCCCTAAGTGACACTGTTAGCCAAGCATTTTTGTCCTCACAAAATTCAGGACAGGGATAGAACCATTTTGATAATGCATTATGTGGTTGCTATGGTACTAGCCCTAAGAAGCAAAGCATTATAAAGGCGAGGTAGTGATTTATTTGACAAAATCTGTAATAAATAGGATTGAGAACAAAACAAAACTATGTAAAAAGGGTTTTAAACAAGCCTCCAAATCCTTCAAGAAACTAAGTACAGGTTGATGCTGATAAATAAACAAGTATACAATAATCCAAGACTTCTTGCAAAGCTAAATATTTTCACAGAATTTGGAATTCACTTGCTACAAGTTAGTATTTCAACATCTTTCTGCTTTATCTATCAAAGGGTTTCCCAACTCCAATTAAACCATCCTCCAATTTCAGCATTATCTCTGTAAATACATCACCAAAAACAGAATGCTCTGTATTATACTGGTGAAATATGCAGACTATAGCTATAATGCAACATAATCCTGAAACCTATTTATCATTGTCTTCCTTCATCTAAATGTAACTTGGTGAGAGACAATTTTCCAAAGAATACAATATAGCACAGAATAGTTATCCTGCCTGTTTTATCATAGCTCTTAAAAACAACTGGAAGCTTGCTGAACTACTGGTTGTGAAACGGACACCTAGCAAACTGTTTGGAAGTAAATCTAACATGGATGCAAACAAAAGTGAGGACAAAGTGATCCCTTGTAGAATTTGTGTAACTTCCTTTTCTGGACATCAAGTCTTCCACCCAGCATGGGCAATAGTTAGGCTGGCAGGGGATTCGGAGCTTTATACTCTAGAATATAATCATCTCAAACTCTATCTCTTTGGAAAAATACAGAACACAAAATAAAAAGAAATATCCGTCCAAAAGATGCACCAAAATAGAAGTGGGAAAATTCTCACATTTGTATCAGATCTTGTTATTTATTTCCAACTAAGGGAATGTGAGGCTGGAATAATGTCAATTATTCCAGGACTATAGAGGTGAAAACAAATGTATTCTTGGCTTTTGCCACAGGGCCAAGGGCCATTGTTTGACTGCACCCCCTGCCTTCCAGGAAGAATACTGTGGCAAAGGGACAATCAGACTGGAATCATCCATTGGGTTCATCAGAAAGTCAGCTGGTGGGAACTATGCCATTCTCCTCTCTGCCACAGAAAATGTTTTGTTTCCACAACTAATTCTCCTGAGATGGCAGAACCACACAGAAGCATTTTCTGAACTAGAGCTGACAGAATCTGGCTCTCCAGATGCTGTTGGGTTGTAGCTCACAACATTTCCTTCCACTGGCAATACTTGCTGGGTGGGTGGAATCTGGGAACTGCAGTCAAAAAGGTAAGAATTCCATATTTTTATTGTATGCATATATGTGAAGTTAGGTTTTTTTTTTTTGTTATTTTGTATTACAAAGCTGCCTTGAGAATCATTTAATGAAATTGGGAGGAGTGTCATTTTCACACCAATTAAAAATATAGTACAGTTGCCCTTCCAAATCTGCAAATTTCACTTTTGAGAATTTATTTGTTTGGTAAATATGTTTTCTCTGGGAGTCTCTACAGTCAACTACCATAGAAATGACCTGGAGAACATCAAGATTCCTAGAGAGAACACCTTTCTAGGCATTTGTAGTTTTCCAGTGTGATTCCATGGTCAACTTCTGGCAGAAATTGACTGTAGACCTGTGTGGGAGGACCTAAAAATTCCTAAATGCCTTTTAAAAAATTGTGGTGTTTTTATTCCGTTTCCCCACTTTTCCAAACCCAGGGAAAGTGAAGGGCTGACAGTAATAATAGTTTTTATTTGTTTTATTATTTTTCATATTTGTGTACTTGTTTTATTTGTACAGTTAATCAACAGGTACATGGAGGGACCAAAACGTTGCTTATTTCTTTACGCTAGATAGTTGAGGAATGTTTGGAAAAATACAGGCCATGGAACAGACGTATACGGGCTACCTCAGGGCCCATTTTCAAGCTGGCTGCAAAACAGCTCAGCATGCCAGAAATAGCTGCCCAAAAGTGAAATATTATCAGGCACACAAAAATTCTTGTTAGGGTCAAATGTACATGGATTGTATCTTTGACCTACAGCTAAGGTCTTGGAGTGAACTGGCTTCCATAAAAGATGTCATGCCAAATTTCATGCAACGGCAGGTTAATTTATAAAACATGCAAAGCAGATGTGAGTTTCTCGTTCATCTCTGAAATAGCTCTTGGCGCTAAAGAAGTTGCCAACCTCTGCAGAAGCAGAACATTAGCTTTCCAAAAACAAGACTTTCATGCATAACTGCCCTAACAGGGAACAGTAGGATTGTTGAGACAGCACAAGAATGTTTTACCCTGATGGTGCAACAGGTCATCAGATACAGCTCAAGGTTGTTGGCTACTACTGTGGGCCTGAGAAGATAGTATCACGGATCTTCTGGAGAGGAAAACTTTTGCATGAACAGCTACATGGATTTATCGTGTCTAAATGTAAGCTCCTTTCTCTTGCATCCAAAGCCTGGAATATGGATACTACCAAAAAGAAAAAGAAAATAAACAGGAACAGAAAAATAATCTTGCATATTTCTCTCCTCTGTCTTCTGGATATACCTGTGTCAAGAGGAACCCCAATTATGACATGATCCTATGCAAGACTACAAATAGTAAATAACTTACAGCTACTAGACATTCTTCAACGAAATGTGTCAACATATGAGGCCGGATTGTGACCATGATGTCTCTAAAGTCAATGGCAGTGACTCTTCCAGCTTGTGTGTTATCTCTCTGTACAAAAGCTTGCTTCGCATGTTCCAGTTGGATTTCCTGTAAAAGATTTTTTTAAAAGTATGTTTAAATAAGCCTACTGACAGAGTCTTGTCATCATCTGCGTTTTCAAGTTTGTTTTGCAGGGCATAAACGTCACCTATAGACTTAGGATGGTAAACTTCCAGGGTCAGTTTTCTAATACTAGGACCTTTTAGGAGCCACATGGATTGTTAAAATGATCATTCTCCCCCCCCCCCCCCAAAAAAAAACTTTTGGTATTTTAAAATATTAAATAGTGCATGATGGAAGCAGATCAAGTTTGCAGAATATTCAATTAACCCATTTTTGCACCGAAAAAGACATTCTGGAGAAGCCTGGGGAACAAAGGTTACAAAAACACGTGGCCAGTTTGCCCATACCGGCTGTAGGCTGTAACACTAGGAATGCACCTAAGAAATCTGTGGAAGATCTTCAGTTCAATGTATTGTCGAAGGCTTTCATGGCTGGAATCACTAAGTTCTTGTGGGTTTTTTCGGGCTATGGAGAAATGCCTCTAGAACATGGCCATATAGCCCGAAAAAACCCACAAGAACTTAGTGATCTTCAGTTCATCTCATTGCATGAGTATGTTCAAGGTTTCTCAAGAGCTGAATGACAGGCCACAATAATTAACCCATTTTGGGTACATAATGTAGATATGCTTTCATAAGGAACTTTAATCTACTAGAATTCATTTATATTCCAGTGTTCAGAGTAGAGATAATCTCAAAACTAGTGTTAATATCTTCATGCAGCATCTGAAAGTTTGAAAGGAAGAGCATCCTCTCTTGGAGGGTCTCCACATCACCCTGAACTTTGAAAAAAATAAATAAGAATTTCCATGATGGAAAGGGATGTGGAAATGCTACATGCATTGGAGAGGGTCTCCTTTTCATGAAGGTCCTCCATATGAAATTGAATCTTGTAATTTTATGCTTAGAATTATGCACAGAAATATGCTTAGAGACAAACAGATTTCAATCCAATTGCTAGCCCCAACTAGAGTTGAACATTTGAATCAACTGCCAAATTGGAGGACAACACTAACAAAATCCCCAATTCAACGAGTAGTTGGAAAAGCAACTGATTTTAGCACACTGCTTACATTCATTTGCACACAATAGAAGGTGAGATGGTAGAGGTTTCAATGCAATCAATTAATTTTACCCCTAACTTTACAATAAAAGAATAAATCCAAAGAGTATCTTCTGAATACCGGAAAACCTTGGACCAACTAGAGCTTTTGCAAATGAAAGGCGTGTTTGTGTGCATACATACATATTACCCAACTGTGTGAGATAGAAGAGATTCTAGTGTGTGTATAGCTAGCGGGAACATCAAGACTCATGTGCACTGTTTCAATGAATGGGAACTCTGTTGACAAATCAATGGCATCAACTTATGAAAAGGCAATGTCCTTCTACTGTGTCATCTATTTAAATGAGGAAATTGTCTTTTCAATGTGGCAATAAATACATTGGAATCCACATGGATTTCTCTAGTTACAGAGATGGAAGTAATTGTTAGAAATTACACACAATGTGCAAAGTATTCCCAGAACGAGCATCAGAGACAAAGGGCATGACCTAAGCAGATTTCAACAAAAAGGAATTCAAGCATATGTTTACTCCACATTGAAACCAACAGGTAAATACTGGCTGGATCATGCCCACAGATATAGAAGAAGCATAGGGCAATTATATGTGAGTTCAAAAAAACTTTCTCAGTTCTGGAGTTGACTCACGCTGTGAGGTATTCCTTCTAAGCCACCACATAGATTTCTGGACTCAGAAAAGTATGGGTTAAAGGATCTTTGCAAGAAAAAGAAATTCAACTGCTTTTCAATACAAAATTAAAGGCCTGCCAAATGTCCCCTCATTTGGAGGTAGTATAATCCCTCTACATAACTTTAAAAACAGCCTCAATTCTTTGATGGTGGGAGTCTGAATTCCTAAAAGCCACAATAAGTGTTTATACAAAATTAATTTGCAGTTGATAACAGGAACTCTGGCACCAGAGCTTAATGAAAAGATCTCCCAACTTGATTCTTTCTTGCTCTTGCTCTCAAACACACACAAAATCCTTCCCAGTGTTGGTTTTCCTACTACAGTTCATGAAGCCACTTTATTTTCCAGGTAGGGAGATTAGGCTCAGGTATGACTGATATTTCCAACTGATCAACATTCATTTGACATAACACAGTCCTTCCCTGCTTCTGCATATTGTGAGGTCCCATTGACAGGCATTATTACTTCATCAATGAGAGAGCCAGAACGGAAGAACCAGCTAGCATACAGTTAAACTTATTTAACAAAGCCATAAAATGTGCACATGTGGAACATAATGTAAAAAACTGATGTTACAGTTTCAGGCAAAAACTGAAGGTTTCAAGATTACCTTCAGTCATATTCGGTGGTGCAATACTCTTTGTCTGTAGAAGAAAATCCTTTATTTATGCAATCATATGAACAGTTCTTTTTGTAAAAATTAAAATTAAATCTTCTTCCTTTAAAAATTCACCAGGCGCAACTAACCCCGAGGCAGAATTGGTGCTTTCAACTCTCCACAAAATGACTCTCAGCTTATCATATAAAAATCCATAATTTTTGCCCGAAGATGTGTCTTTGACTTGGTCAACTTATACATGAGTATATACAGTATACAATAATAATATATTTCCCACAATAACCTTGAGAACTAAAGTAGGTAAATAAGAGCGCTGGTGACTAGTCCATGGTCACCATGTAAGCTGAAAGCAGTGGTTCCCAACCTGTGGTCTGTGGATCACCAGTAGTCCACAAGAACTAAAATATGGCTCGCGGACTCACCATTATTACTCCGTTGCAACGAGAGCAACTGATTTCGCGAAACTCTCTTATAGTGTCGAGGCTTATTAAATATGGCTTTCTGAGGCGAGCAGATGGCAACTACCGGATAACATATGTTCTGTATCAGAAACTACAGAGGATGTGGACTAGTCAATGTAATTTTCTGAATCAGCACCTCAAATAACCAAATTGAATCTAAAGTTGACCAAAAACTGCTTCATAACCCTTTTGTTGGAGAATGGTCCCTGGTTAAAAAAAAAAAAAGGTTGGGAACCACTGGCTTAAAGGATTTGCAGCATTTTAATCAAGGATCCAACATGCCATCCACTGAACTAATTGTCTATTTGTGGCAAAGGCTATTATAAACCCAAAATAATGTCATTCTGCATCTGAGGACCAGTTTATCCAGTTTACTATTTGCTTCTGGCATAAATTCCCATGAGTTAGAATTTCTATCCTAAACAGGAACAGATATACTCAGATCATACAAACACAGAAGGTCACCATTTTACTACCTTAGATATAAGAACAAAAGGACCATTTATGAATGCTTAGTGTAGACCGACTCATTTTCGTGTACTCAGGTTCATATACATTACAACACAGTCCATCCATTTGGGTGAAATGTTCTGGATGCTGCTTACATTAACAGTGTTTTGCCTGTCCCAGTACTTAGAATCTAAAATAAATCTGAGGAAAAGGTAACCTATTTATATGATCTTAATTTTTAATGGATTTCAAAAACTAACAGTTTTTAAGGAAATTGTAGAATTGAGGATGTTTTGGATAGAAATATTAAGGATGCTTTTTTTCTTCTTAAAATTTCTCTCCCTCTCCCTCTCCCTCTCCACACACACACACACACACACACACATGTTCATATTAGACTCAATTAGTTTTGAAACTAGACTATTGGTTTCTAAGAGCCGCACTTCTGGCTTGCCCAGCCCATGGGGATGGGACTCAAAAGAAGAACAGAATTAAATTAATAAAGGTTTTATGTTTAAAGGCATATGGAACACACTCATTAAATTATTATGTCTTTTAAGTTCCTAGCCTGAGCAGTGAAGGCTAAGCAATGGTGGCAAGTCCCAACAACGTGGCCTTCGCCGAGACAGAGAAGGCATTTCACGTGGCTGTCGGAGCCCAAGATTTTGGCGGCACACTGAGTGCCGAGCTTGAAGTGAGTTGTGGACATTGTAACAAAGTTTCCGAAGAGTTATCATGGGGAAAAAGAGTTTCCACTGAAGCTTTATCACATACCCTTGTTTCCAAAACAAGCCACATTTTTCAAAATTCCATTATCACAGGGACAGAAAGTGAGGTGAAATTTTCTGAACAGGGACACAGACATCAAAAGAAACACCACAGAGTTGTTAACCTTTCCCTATGCTTTCCAAAGCCCACATGTGTATATATGGCTGGAGTTACACTTCAAAATGTACCTGTTCTTACTTACATGCAAATTCAACTTAAGAATAAACCTACGGAACAATCTGGTTTGTAACTTGGGGACTGCCTATACAAACAAATGGAAATGCATTTGCAAAATAATAAAGGACACCATGGTATCTCACCTGGAACCAATTAAGAGAAATATAAAGCGCATTTTCAGACTAAGACAACTGTGGCCTCCTATCGCTATAAGGTCCAAGGTCTAGACACCCGAACAAGGTGATTGGGTCATATACATGGATAGCATCAAAGGAAAAGGGTTAAATGTCAAATCTTGCTTAATTCAAAGCAAACCTTCTTAAGAGATGTGAACAGTAACTCCAAATCTCATAATACAGGCTGTTTTATATTTGTTTTTGACATAAGTATCTCATGTCAAGAACTCATGTGGGAAGGTTATCTGGTATCCTCACCTGCCTAAAAGCTATGTATCTTGATCCCAGGTCCATGAGGGCTGGCTTCAAGGCAATTCCTGTTCCACATATGGCTTTAAGGCAAGTAGGGAAATATCTCTCTGTCCTGGAGGTACATTTCCATTATTTGTATTTCCAATCTCCGTTCGGAGCCTTGAATATGTGAAAATGCTGAGACTTCTGATCACAATATAAAATTATTTGTGTATCTAATCTACTTATGTTGCATCTCAAGAGCTAATTATAGTGGTAGTCCATATTGGTGCCAATATATGGGTCATCAGCTGCTGGTCCTTGGAGTGTTTCCAGGAAAAGAAAAAAAAACCTAACTGTAGTCAGTGGGTACAATATGGTACTAAGTCCTCAGCACATTGGGGAGGAAAGGCCAGTGCCCCACATAAGAGAAGGAAAGATATACCATTAATATTTCCACTCCTCATATGATCTTCTCAGTACCCTGTCTCTGTTAGTCATATGCCTGCAAATACAGGCTTTTCTGTTGAGGATGGTTTTGGAAAGTGTCCAGCCATTGAAGAAAAGGCTTTTCCTAGATAAATGTTGTGGTTTTTCCTTCACAAAATCCTCTAGTATTTTTAAAATCACTTTTTAACTAAATGTTGTTTGAGTATTATAGCTTAACTGTGTTTTAAGATGGATATTTTTGTATGTTTTTTACCTGTAGCTATTTTATCTTTATTTATTTTTGTAATTGGTATCTTTTTCTACATTTGTTTTAATCCAGTTTGGATTCCTTGAGAGAAAGGAGGGATATAAATCAAATGAAGCCAGAAAAACCAAGAATCAAATCATAGCCAGTCTGAGAATGCTGAAATATGATGACTGGCCCAAAATAAGCCTTTTGTGGCAGAATGGAGATATGAACCTATATATCTTAATCCAAGCATTAAACCATTAGACCACACAGGTCTACAGTGGAAATGAAGACTTTAAATTCCAACATTAGCTTTTGAACCAGTTGTAGCACCAAACAGCAAATCTGTGTTGTTTCTTCTGAGTAGAAATGACCAGGGCACAAAGATCTGTCTCCCTGCATAAATCTTGCTGTAGAATAGGTAGATTTCAATGCTACATTCCACAGATCAAAGTATATGTTGTTTATTTTGTATGTACTCAAGGAAGAGGGGCCAACCAAGGACAAGATGGATGGATGGCATCCTTGAAGTGACTGACTTGACTCTGAAGGAGCTGGGGGCATTGACGGTCGACAGAAAACTCTGGAATGGGCTGGTCCATGAGTTCACAAAGAGTCGGAAGCGACTGAACGAATAAACAACAACACTCAAGGCATCAAGTGTGCCTTTGCTGGGAGCCACCCTGAGTCCCCTTCGGGGTGAGAAGGGCGGGATATAAATGTGATAAATAAATAAATCTATATAAATAAAATGTAATGTTTGTTTGTGGGATTAACATAACTCAAAAAACACTGGATGAATTCACACCAAATTTGAACACTTATCAGGCCAACAAGTGACCATCACTCAGAAAAACAATGAAAAAACACAGTGGAAGAGACTTAAAAAGCAAAAAAAAAAAAAACAACCCCATACCATTACAACTAATGTGCAAAACCACATATATACACATATATACACATACATACACACACGAAACATATATACACAGACTGGGCCACAGCAACACTTGGCAGGGGATGGCTAGTAATCAATACATTATGTTAAAAATCCAGCTCTGAAAATGCCAGGCAGTACAGAGTCTGTATAGATGTAGATGGGCAGACACACATTTACGTGGACTCTATACCACCTGTCAGGGTTGATCTTTTAGCACAACCTAAATTGATGAGGTGCCTGGACTGTCTGTGTGTTCTGTATCATGGATCTCCAGTTCAGAGCTTTTTCCACTTGCAACGCCTTTCTGTCAGAGAAATGTTTTACATGACCCTTGGTATATAGGTACATAAAATAGAAATAAAAATCACACATTTACTGATAGTAAATCAGCATTTGCAAGACTTGCTAAACAGACTGATTTTCCTTTTAATGAAGGACAGCTTAAGCATTTTCTGCAGGGTCCATTGTAAATACTGCATAATAGATTTTGTAAATGCCTAAAACAGTCACTAGGTGGCATTCAGAAATTTTTTACTGTGGCCAATTTTATTGTAACCCTAAGACTGAGCTAAAGGGACCCCATTTGGCATCAGGACCCACAGTTTGAGAAGCAGTGCTTGAGTTCAAGCCCTTGATATGATTTCAACCACACCCCAGTCTCAAACTAAGCTTAGGGATGCCATATTCAATAAAATACACCCTGAAAATTTGGGATGAGGTATATCAATACAACAGCAATTTCAGACATTAGATACTGAAGGGCAACAAAGTCAGCCTAAAAGTGTTCCTCCCAAGCCTCACATTCTTTCTGCTCCCATTGATATTTCTGGGCATACTACAAAGCCTGACCAGTACCTTCTAAATGGACTTGAACCCTTAGATTTATGAGATGGTGTCATTACATTCCCAATATTTAAATAAAATTCAAGTGCTGTTCAGTCAGTTTCCTTAAGTTGAAGAGTATTTTGTCTCAAGTGGCCAAGTGCTGGATCCACCCATCCATTGGCCCCTGATATTTTTATCCTAGGTTGGAAACATGTCATCTTGGATGGCCACTGCTCAAAGTTCATAGGAAAAACCTAAAATTTTCTGAACGCCACAAGGTCATATATGAGCAAAAAGAAGGAAATAAAAACCTCGGAACAACCCCTTGGTGTACACAAGGTAGCAATCCAGTGGTAATGTCACTGTATAACCAAGGCCATAAATCCCATCTCTCTCTCTCTCTTTCTCTCATATGCAAGCCAAGTCTACTAGCAATTTGTTTTGATGAAAGGTCAGTAAAAAGATCTGACCTCACAATGTCTCCATTCAAACTGAAGTTTCAACATCAAGCATTTCTGGTAGATGTTGCTACTGATTGGTTGGTGTTTTGTACTGAATTAAAACAGCTGGATGGGAACAACTTTGACTTACAGTGAATTTGTAAATTTAAATAACAAATTCGAAAGTGAATTAAACACTTTTTGAAATGAGGTTTGGAAAGTTGCATCACTTTCCTACAAGGCAAGATGGGCTAGCTCTGAAGTCAAGCAAAGTTAGCAAATGACAGTCATTAAGAGTACCAGAATGTGATTATATTATATCAGACACCCAACACCCTCTTCAGACAAAGAGTTAATTAAGCTCTACTCTACCAAGTCAATTTGAAGCATTTGTCCTAGCAGCATTATCTTAATTATTTCTCATCAAAACGATAACACTTCCTACTGTGAACTAACATCCTTATGTAAACAAAATTACAGACTCCATAGTCCTGAAATGTGATCCTTTGTCAAAAACTCTCCTGCGTAAAGGCTCTTTACCACACATCCAACTGAAACACAACAGAAGCATTCATCCTGCCTTGTCTGGGGTCTCGTGAGGTTTTGGCATTTCATCTGAAAACATTAGCATGTTTGCGAAGGAGATTTCTTGAAGTGTACTCTATCCCACAAAAGGAAATAAAGACAAAACCTTTTTTTTCCACAATTTCAGATACAGAAGAAGTTGAAAGTATTTACCATGTAAAATAGTAAGATGAGGAGTTATGATCTGTAGCATGTGCATTTCAACCCACCATTCATTTCGTATATAGCTATGGGGTGCCTATATATTATAGAATTAATGCAGTTCGATACCATTTTAAAGGGGCCCCCTGGTGGCACAGTGGTTAAACCGCTGAGCTTGCTGAACTTGCTGACTGAAAGGTTGGCAGTTCAAACCCGGGTAGTGGGGTGAGCTCCCACTGTTAGCCCCAGCTTCTGCCAACCTGGCAGTTCAAAACATGCAAATGTGAGTAGAGCAATAGGTATCGTTGCGGTGGGAAGGTAACAGCACTACATACCATCATGCTGGCCACATGACCTAGGAGGACAACACTGGCTCTTTGGCTTAGAAATGGAGATAAGAGGTTCTAATCTGGGTGGTGCTCCCACTGTTAGCCCCAGCTTCTGCCAGCCTAGCAGTTTGAAAACATGCAAACCTAAGTGGGTCAATAGGTACCACTTCTACAGGAAGGAATGGCACTCCATGCAGTCATCCTGGCCACAGGAGGTGTCTATGGACAACACCGGCTCTTCAGCTTAGAAATGGAGATGAACACCACCTCCCAGACGAGACTTAATATCAGGGGAAACATTTACCTTTACCTTACGACCACTTTAAATGCCTGCGAATTGTAATTTGGTGAAGTGCCAGAACTCTTTGGCAGAGAAGGCTAAGGACATTATAAAGCTACACATAATTCCATATAATTGAGCCATGACAATTAAAGTGGTTTTAAACTGCATTAACTCTACAATGTAGATGCACCCATTGAGTTGGAAGATGCCCCAAGGGCCATTCAGTTCTTCTCCGTCATTCAGGAATATACCATCAAGCACCCCTAACAGATGGTCATCCAAAAAAAGACACTCCAAGGCAGTGTACTGCACTGCTGAACAGCTCTTATTGTCAAGAAAAATGTTTATGATCTCTTTGCTTTTCAGACAATGTTTTTTACACAATTGTAACTCTCTGTTTTTATATGCACGCAGCATTGAATGAGTCTTAAAATATCACATTGGCATTTCCAAGTAACTGGTTGGCTTCCAACAGATCTTTTTAGTCATGGTCGTCCATAGATTCCTATTCACTTTTAAATGGAAACGCAGAAGAACCCTATAGCAGAAGGAATTCATTCTTTTAATGTTTGAATGTTAAAGCTGACACTTCCAGAATTTAGGTTTGGCAGTGCATCTTATAAGTTGCATCTTATTCGATGACAGCTCCAAATCCCCTGCGTCTGGTTGCAAATATCCAACACAGCTGAACTCACTGAATGAATTATATGAGTGTGCGTGCGCGCGCTCACACAAACATACAGACCTTACCGCCTTTCAGCACCAAAAGTGCCAACTCCACTGAACCACACCCACTATATTAAATTGAAGATGTTGACTGGAACACTTTCAAAAATATCTCTGCTGCTTTGAGATGCCAAAAGAAAAGTTAGTGCTTATTTAGCAATTTAAGCACCAGCCAGTCAACTGTATCTTACAGGCATAAAGCATGCAGCAGTCCAAAAATACAGATAGCTAGTGTGTAATAAACTCAAAAGGAGATGAGAATTAAATTGTACAATTGTAAGTTTTCTTTGATTTTGTTTGTCGAAACTTCCAACATTTATTGCTCAAACTTACCAGTAGGAACTGGGTGAACTCTGCATACGTTAGGCGTCTTTTCCGATCTTTGCCAAAATGCAGTTGCACAAACTCTGAGTCCCAGTTAAAGGGAATATGCTGGTGAATCGTGGTCTGGCCAAAGACTTGCTTAACATCCTCTGGGAAATGAAACCGAGAGAACAAAAGAGAGGACAGTTAAAACAAAACAAAAAAATATTCTACTTTGGGACAGAGTGGGAACCATGCAGTCCTTTAAATTGTATTAAACTGCAAGTCTTTGGAGTCCTAGCCAACCCAAAAATGGTGAGGAATCCTGGAAAATGAGGTTTAATAACACTTGGAGGCCCAAATGATTCCTATCTTCGACTCTAGAAGAGATTTATAGGTTTTCTTTTCATTTCATCGGAACTCTTTCCAAATGAACCAGCAGCCAGCCCTTGCTCACAGACTCATTCCATACATATAATAAAAGTTTGAAAATATGTATATGTGTTACATGGCTGGGGTGTCCACTTTCACAGACAGGCTGTCACCTCCATAAACAGCTACAGATCCTACTACTCAGGAGACACCAATGGCCCTCTCTCCAATGACATTACAAGTTATAGTGAATGCCATGAACATGTCCAAGAGCCCTGCCAATGTCCTCCACAAATGTCATATCGCCCACCACGCAAGTGAAGGCTTTTATTTGGGGAAAATATCATCCTATATTGTATGTGTTTCCTCCACCATGGACATTGCAGTATTCCTTCCTCTCTCAATTGCTGTGGAATTTGCATGACCCTGCCCATTGCCTCTCCTTTAACCCTTTCCTATTCTTTTCTATGGCACACAGCAAGCAGAGGAATAGATCAGCAACTGAACACACTAGAGAGGTCTGGGAGGAATTCATCTTGAGTTATAGGTGTTGTAGGTACTGGAATGTATAGTTTGCCTGTAATCTAAGAGCTGCACTCCGAACTCTGCCAACGATAGACCTGGAACTAACTTGGAACACAGAACCCCCCATCACCCACTTTATGTCCTGGTGTGGTTTGGGGAAGGATGGACCATGGGATTTGCAGTACCTTCACTCACTTTCACAGACCACTGCGCCAACCACGAATGATGGACCTCAACCAAACTTGGCACAGAGACCCCCCCCCATGACGAACAGAACATAATAGAAGGGTTGTGGGGAGACTAACCCACTTGCATGGGAGTTGTAGTTTACTCTGCATCCAGCGAGCACCCTAAAACCAACCAATGACAAATTACCATCACTTGGGTCCCCAAGCTAGTACATCCTAAATTATCAGAAGGCTAAACCAAATCATAGCTTTCCCTTGTTGTCTACTCCTCCTTTCACTAAGGCCCCATCTATACTGACAATTTAAAGAAGTTTCCAACTGAGATTGAAGAAAGTGGATTCACTATAATGTACAGATGATTACATAGGGAATCCTGGACCTTTTTTGAGACCACAGAGTACTGAGGCACATTAAGAGCTTTCTTTTGAATGTTTTTGTTGAAATTTGTTGTCTGGTCATCACAGTTTGGAGTTAGCTTCGAACTGCATTCAATGGCCAGTGTAAATGGGAGCTAAATGATGCAGTAACAGCATTCGTAACACAGTATTACATAGTCATATAACCCATCACATTTTGACAATCCTCAGCAGTCACCCTTTTATTTCTATTCCCCTTGAAAAAGCTAGTCAACAAAATATCTTGGAGGGTTTTTAAAGGGGCTGTTTGTGAAAATCCAGCCTCAAAATATCAGAGAACTGTGGTGTGTCTAATTGTCATCGAGCATTTGCCCCAAACCATCAAAACAATATGCAATTTGCTTTATGTTTTTGTCAGAAATATTAAATATTAACTAGGTATTTGTAATTACAAAAATGTGAGTCAAGTACTGAAAGGGTTAAATGGATGCAATGTCTCATCAAAAGCTGCAGTTCAATATAAGCAGGTGTAGCTTAGTTTCCCTTAGTCTGTGAGAGGTCTTTGTAGAAGAAGGGCCTCGGAGTGTCAGTATGAGTAGAACTCAGTGTTAGTTCACCTCAGTATATGAGAGGCGCTAGTCTGAGAGCACCCTTAGTGTGAAAAGGCCTCAGTGTGAGAACGCCCCAGTGTATGATGGCTGCTGTGTGTAAAGCTACTGTATGAAACTCCTATGTAAGTTCGGTGTAAGAAGTGGTTCTGTGAGATCCAAGCCATTTATCTGCATGAGAAAGAAGCCCAGCATGGAAGCAAATAAGGAAATATAAAGAACTTTGTGTTATGGAAAACTTGTTCTTGTAAATAGTACAGCCATATTATTTTGCTATAAAGAAAAGCCTCCTATGGAAGAGATAACATTGGTCTGCGTGTTTTTCTTCTTTTTATCACTTTGGGCTACTGGTACTGGGTCACATTGTTACCCAACCATATTAGCATAATCTTAGATGGATGAATGCTACTGACTTGCATAGCTAACTGCCCCTTTCCAATATTGTTCTGAGCGTAGAATAATCTGCCCACCATAATCCGCCCACTATTACTTTATGCCATTCGCTCTTCCAAATTTTGGACTCTCTAAAAACATGAAAAATTATATTCTCAGTATCATTTGATGGCACTTAAACCATTTTTTTCTTTCTTTGTTTAACCTGAAAATTACAATATCCAAGTTTTCTGCCGTGATGCTACGATATGTCTTCAGTGTATTCTTTTAAAAGTAAAGGATGGTTGATTTCCTGACAAAATACATATTGAATTATATGGTATACTTATCTCATTGGATGTTCTGAATGTATTGCTTTTATTGACTAATTGTGATGGTTATGAAACAGGCTCCTTTCTTCTAACCTTTATAATAAATACTTTCTCACTACGGTTCACAAACTCCTATAGACGCTCGCTAGAGTTGCCTTGAAATTATTCCTTCTTCCTTCACTGGACTCTTCTCTCATTCATCTCAAACAATTTCACTGATCAGAGTACTTATTTCCACAGACATACTGCTGGAATCAGATACGGAGATCATTCATGCCCCATGAACAGATTTATAACATTTTGGCCCGCTTCAAGTGACAGGCCCAATTGCAGTATCTACAGCAGTACTCCTTCACACTCTGTTTTTCTTTAATTGCCCCAAACCATCTTAGATTAAAAAGAGAAAGGAAGGAAGATAATCATCTGAAGCAGAAAGACCCTTTAAATCTCTGGCCTTTGAAGGAGATGAGCCATGAAACCAAATCACACACTTTTACTACTGCTTTCCTCCCAATTTGAAAAATGATTAAACGCAGTTATAAACCGAAACTGGTGTAGTAGTTTAGAGGAGGGAGGAAAACCAGCATGTTGATCCTAGATTATCATCTGGTATTGACAGCTACAGAATGATGAGGAGTTCAAGTGACAGATGAGGAACCTATGGTTTTGCTAATGTTATTTATTCCTATTCCCATGAGCCTTGGACAGCAAGACCAATGGTAAAGAGTGATGGTGGATGCAATCCAAATCATTGTGTGGGTATCAAGTTCACTTTAAGTGTTTATTCTCTATGTTGACTATTTATTAAGCTTACTAATTCTCTTCTATATAATTACCTGAAAGCGAGAAAATATAAGAACTGCCCCTGTTTTTTCCTATCCTCTGACTTGAAAACTTTATATTAGCTTTTCCAACAACAATCAACAAACAAAGTTAATAGATTCACGTGGTCTGCCATATATCTGGTTGCTTCATTTGTTTTCTTTCAGACTCTATGGAACAACTACATTACCATATAAAAATAAGGGAGAAAACTAAAATGTCAACACAGCTATGAATACCAGCAATGTGATCCTTCCACCTAACCTTACCTTAGAAATAAAATCTCCTCCTAAATGGACACTTTTTGATGAAGTGTTAAAATTTTCATTCTTCCAACATCACATAAAAATCTTTAAGCACTAAAACTACTCAAAATATGTATTTCCTATGCACCCAAGCATGAAGTTAGAATTAATTTATTATTATTTTATGTTAATACATTTTAAAAATCAAACATTTGGAACTTGATGGAAAAGTCTAAGCTGAGACTCTGTTAATATAGTTAACTTATTGGGAAAAAAAGCAGTCTCACCTTCTGCTAAGGAAAGAGCATAAGGCAAATTGGCGATTTTATAAGATACTGAATTGCATAATGGTGTAAAAGTGGAGGCACCTCTATCTCCAGCGATACCAAGGTTGCCTTTTGAAAGAATCTGACAGGGCCATTTTCTATTAATCATAGTTAAGGGTCTGAAAAAATAATACAGAATAAGAGCTGGGATTATGAATCCTACATTGAAGGCTTCAAGGAACCGAGTGTGGTAAACTGAATTTACTTAAAGATGTGATAAACTCTTGGAAGCATTGGGGGAAGACAAGCATCATATACTCCAGAGTTTGGGGTGGAGTTTTAAAGAAAAGTTAGAAATAAAATGTTCTGCTAGAAATTCTCATCTTGAGTTGTCAGGTGAAATAAGAGATAAGACTTATGTATCTCAAACTGTTATGCAGAAGAGGGGATATCAGCACTTGTTGCTTGTTGTCGCACAAGCTTCATGTGTCGAGAATCTCTCTTTGCACAACCCTTGAAGGTATAGGGGTTCTGTTCATACCTGGCAACCTAACTCCCATTTACACTTATTCGGAAATGGTGTTAGGCTGATGGAGATAAAGGCTAATTCACAGGGCACTAAGCCCACTCATTAGATTTCAAGAAGTGCTTTTGGCTTTGAGAATCATAGATGGAATGTATGAGAACAGGATGTTGGCCATATACAGGCAGTCCCCAAGGTATGAACATCGAACTTACAAATGACTCATAATTAAAAACGGGGCTGAGGCAACAGGAAGTGAGATAAATCTACCCCTAGGAAGAGAAACTCGCTTCTGAAAGTTATCATGGGGAAAATGGGTCTCCACTGAAGCTTTTTCACCAATCCTTGTTTCCACAACAAGACAAATTTTTCAAAATCCAGTTATCACAAAGACAGAAAATGAAATGAAATCTTCTGATCATGGACACAGACAACAAAACAAACACCACTTAAAATGTACCTGTTCCAACTTACAGTTTCAACTTAAGAACTACTCTATAGAACCCTTCTTGTTTGTAATGTGTGGACTGCTTGTATATGCCATTAAGCAGCCTAAGAGAA